TTTGTCAAAAGTGAAAGATTTCTTGAGGCTACTAATAAATAAACGACCGATCACTATTCGTAAAAACCCGTTAGGTTGGCTATAATAATTGATCTATATAAAGAAATAGAAACAGAAATTTACGCATATAAAATGATTTTTCATAAAAAAGGTTAAGATGATTATTGATTTGTAAAAGAGATTGACCTTATGCTGACTGAATAATAAAAGAAAAGAACTCTTTCTGCTGAGTCCGGTATATAGTATGTTGTTATGGCTTGCAGCAAACCCACATATGCTGTGTCTGACCCGTACGCCGTACGAGTGGCCGCATCAATTGAAAACTCGTGCGAAAACTCACAATCGGGGCAGCATCCCGTACCAAATCGATTCATACCTTATTCCAGGCGTATACTTGGCGAAGAAGGATATTCATCTTGTCATTCCCTATGTGAAATGTGGTGATAACACCATATGCTAAATGACGCGAGATCTATATAGCCAGAAAACAAATTTATCGGCGCATATGAAACGCATTCTCTAATGGTTATTAGATGATTCAAGCACACACAACCAAATAAGCATCTCGTATGAGTGTCCTGATCCGGTTTCGCATGCTCTGCACGACTGTGGAAGAATTTATCGCCAAAGAAGGCTTGTCCATCGATACGATGTGGCATTCAAAGCTGTGTCACCGGACGATTGACCGTTGCTGGTCTGTCTTTGAGATCGACACCATTACATCCAAATTATTTTCTCGATGTGACTCATCGCAAAAAAAGAGATGGTCACTTCTCTTTCTTATGAGCAGAAAAAATATACTCTATCTGGACCAAGAGCTGCCGCAGCTGCCCGTGCTGTTTGTAGTCCCCATTTTTTCGAAATTAACTTTTGCACCATTATGATGGCTACAATTACTTCATTACAAGCATACACAATTTACCACTCGCCGTCGCTTTTCTGACACCGTCGGTCGGTGCCGATTGTCAAGATTGATATTCTCTCAATAAACCTGCTTCGTGCTTAGCACGAAAAAATGACGTTACATAATTAACTTGGTAGTGACCACTATCGATTGACACTTCGGGAACCGAGCACGCACTCCCCTATTAAAAATTTAATGAAAAATCTAACTAATACAAACTCATTGACAAAACGCGGTGGAAATCTCGTCTCCATGCACCACGTCGTGCGATTTCTTCAATACGGGATATAAGAATATATTTTCGTGATCTCCTATGGAATTGAATCGCTGCAAGTCGCAAGAAGAAGAGCTAGGCCTGAACTTAACAAGAATGATATATTCATGACGCAATAGAACCGTACGCTTGAGTCAGCACTGCCCGGTGACGCCTCTCACAGTCTTACAAATCCCGGGATTATGATGTTAGCAACCAACAAACTTGAGCGGTGAGCCTAAATCTCAAAATACTGTTCATTTTTGTACGACTGGCCCCATTGACCACATTTTTACGAGGAACAAGAGTTGGGAGCCTAAATCAGTTACGTCGCGCTTATGAAGACGCCATCGTTTCCTGCACATACATGTTAGCCTATCCCGTGACAAAATCCGACTCATTGTACTTCTCAGCCGGGCGAAGGGGGCAGGTAATGCTCGACGAAGAGAGAAAAAGAAATGTAAAGAGTGAACATTTTATATTATTGAAAATGAGGCGTCCGCGAGTGAGCGGGCTACTCCAGAGCAAAGAGGCCTATTTGCTTTCTCTCTGTTTGACTGGAAATCTTGTCCCTGGCTTTTTCATAAAAATTCAATGTTGTTACCCCATTTGACCCTCACGGCACGAAAGCCGTCCTTGAAACGCAATGCGAATCTCATTGATTACATGAAAGGGATATGGAGGATGTAGAACGTCACGGTGCCAGCCGCAACTGATCAAATTTAATCCATGAATGGTGATCATTACAGCTTTGAGAACATTGTATGAGGCCATTGAGTTGATCTGAAGTTTTCCTCCTATATATTTACCGCTAGTTTTGCCTGCAATAACGGGTGGAAATGAAAGTTGAACGTAATATTTTGGTCATGTTGGCGATGCGGCAGGTCTTTTACCACGAAATCGATAGTTACATCTAACTAACGTGATGTCATCAACGAGGTCGGACTCGATCACGTTGGCTTTCCATCGAAACTCCCACTCGGAACCAACTTTTCGATGACAAACACCATGCATCACTTTATGCTCACCGTGCTTTCAGCATTTACGTCTGATTGAGGAGTTTGAGCGACCACTAATCAAAATAAACACCATTCGCTATTTTTCCAGCTCATAGATTGTTCACTTTCGCTTTTATCAGCAGGGACGAGCGTGTCTACTAAATTATGCGTTATCTTTTGGTGATTGAAACCTACCCTGTGTGTATGGATTGTTTAACGACAAACATTTTGCGTGTCGGTGTTGACCTCGCGCTACGCCAACCATTTCACACGGTTATGCCGTGATCATGTCGGCGTCATTAGGATTTTGGCACCGGGAGGTCGGAGTCATCGTTGAAAAGGTGTTGGGAGCCGATAATTTGATTTCGAGGGGGTCAGTTGATCAGTAAAACGGAAATCCTTCATTCACCATAGCAAGCAGCTTCAATTAAACCGCGTGCCTGGCGGGCACGAGGCAATTTGTTGCTTACGGGGAAGTGAGACAATCATAATTATGTTTTTGATAGCCACCAAATGCGTCACACAACCTTCGCCTACTACTGAAAACTATGAGACACGAACGACAAATAGGCACAGCGAAAGCACATCAGCTGTTGATACACCACCGCATCCTGCTTTCGACTACCTGAAGCTTGAATAACGACTAAAAGAGTATCATTTCCAGCTCACGACCTTTTATTCACCGCAACCTCTAGCATTTGACCAAGCCAAACTTAAGCAAAAGATGACTCTGCGTTAGTTTTTTATTATCGATCATTGGTTTGAAAAGCTCCCAGGCCCAGCAGTGGACAAACTTCTTGCAACGTTAAAATTTACTTAAGACTTTGGTTGCATTATTGCCAAAATTCCAACATATCAAACTTTAGAAGTTGCCTGCACTGCACCGTACACGATTGTCGTAAGCGGCGCGTTGAGCCGACAGAGCAATGCACCCACATTAGTGCGACTAACAACGCCGAATTCGATCATTACACGCGAGTCAAGCTTCGATTTTGTTTCTACTGTTTGTCATCCATAATCGATTGCGAGCTCAGCAATTAAATCATCGACGTTAAAGATGTAACTACCGTCACTGACATACGCTCGGAGCATGATGTCATAATGACAGGATGTCCTTCTGATATGATCACGCCACTTAATGCAGTACGGGGCAACCGATGACCGTCATTAAGATTGCGGCAATGTTTACGGTGAGAATTATGATTCCAGATATGACGACAACTGTACCGGGGTTACACGAACCCTGATAACAAGAGTGTGTGTGTCACACGAGATGTGCTTGGTGTGACCACACCCAAACAAGAATACGGTACGGGGCTAGGTAGCCAGTAGTTATGC